TTGTGTTGATGAGTTCTGTGAATGGACACATATATTATTGAAGTGTTCTAAAAAGGGTATTTAAATTAAATCATACTGTGAACATCAACTATTAATTTGGTGGGCGCTCATAAAAATGTCCTACAAGGACTTCACCCGCCACCAGCCAAGGATTTCACTGTTCACAACATTCTTTTTTTCTTTTTCTTTTTGTATGCGGACATCATTCTCAATTTTTTTAAGATATCAAGGCCCAATGGTAATACCCGCCAACTCAAATACCTCTACCTTTAAATGTTAATTTATAGTTTTTAGATGAGGTAAGATCACAAGTGGATCCGTGGCGCAATGGTAGCGCGTCTGACTCCAGATCAGAAGGTTGCGTGTTCGATTCACGTCGGGTTCAATCCCCGCTTGTTTTCCTTTTTTTTGTTGTTATTATTATTTCTGGAGTTTTTTTGTTTGTTTTTATTTTCTTTTTGGAGATAGATCATGATTGATGGACCAATAATTTTTTTTTTGTTTACATTGATGGACCAATATCAACGTGGTATTAATGAGTTTTGTTTTTGCTTAAATAAGGCAAAAAGTCACTTTTGGTCCCTGTAGTTTTTCACTTTTACCACTTTGGTCCATGTCGTTTCAATTTGGTCAATTTTGTCCCTGTAGTTTCAATTTGAAGCGATTCAAGGACAATCCTCAATTTCTGTCAAATTTTTGTAACTTCTGTTAATTATAGAGGGGCAATTCTGTCCACAAATTATTATTTTCTTTAAAAATAATTTTAAAACATTAAAATCAAATATATAAAAATTAAAAGCTAAACCCCTCCCCTCCTAGCCCTACCCCTTCACCGTCGCCCCAACCCAACCATCCCCAAAAACCATCGTCCACAGACCACCACTTAGCCATCGCCAAAAACTACTATACACCAACTAGCACCTAGACATCGCCCACCATCCATAAACTTTCTTATTCGACCAAACAGAAGGGAAAATGCCCTCACAGATATCCATTCCCAACCCATCTCCATCCAAACCCGACACCCATTCCCACCCATAGGTCCAGCCCCACCCCTTCGCCCGGAAAACACAAAACTCAGCCCCACACCTCGCCCACCCTACTCCCATCCTCAGCCAACCTCCCTCTTTCTAGATCTAACGATGTAGCTAGACCCCGACGACCTCTTGGAGCTCATGGATTCTTCTTCTTCTTCCCACCAGCTCATGCAGCGGCAGCATCTCGTCGTCTCCATCATTATCATCATCATTAACAACATCAGTAAGGTCTTCGTTTCTCCAATGCTTCTCTACCGCATGAGACAACATGGGAACCTTCATCAAAGCCAAGCTCTCGAACTTTCTCGAAGTCTGCATGGGATGTGACTACAAAGATCTCGGAATCGAAGGGATGGGCCTTGATGACGACAATGGAGGTGAATATACAAGTAATGAGTTTACCGATTACTGCAAGCAAGAAGGCATCACAAGGCACTTCACAGTAAAGAAGAATCCCCAAAAAAATGGAGCTGCTGAGAGGATGAACCGAACTCTCATGGAGAGAGAGGAGCATGCGATTTCATGCAGGATTGCCTGATAGTTTTTGGGCAAAGGCTGTTAATCATGCAAGTTATTTGATTAACATATCACCATCTACAGTTCTTGGTTTTAAGAGTGCAGAAGAGGTATGGTCTGAGAAGCCGGTGGACTATTCCAAGCTCAGGGTATTCGGCTGTAGTGCTTACGCACATATTCCAAGTGATGAAAGGTCCAAGCTCAAACCAAAGTCTACACATTGCATATTCTTAGGTTTTGAGAAAGGAGTGAAGGGTTTCAAGCTTTGGGATATCAACAACAGGAAAAAGGTTGTCAGCCGAGATGTTGTCTTTGATGAGACAACCATGCCTCTGAATAAAGTCGAGAGCAGTAGGGAGAAGAAAGACGATGCTGAAATTGAAGCAACAAAGATTCCGTTAATCAGTTCAGACGAAGAAGAAGCTCAGGTGGAGCAAATTGGGCAAGATGCCGAATATGATGGTTTTGAGGAAGAAGAGCATCAACATCGTTCACCAGTTAGGAATTAGGTGGAGCAAGAAACAGGGCAGATTGAAGGCACTCTAATCCGCCAGACATCCCAAAGGGTTAGAACTCCAACCAACAATCCACCTGCATTCCAGAGATGCATAGCACTGGACAAACCTAATCGGAACAAGAAGAAACCTGACAGGTTTGGGTTTGACCAAGACAAGGTTAATTATGCTCTCAACATTGGTCAAGGAGATCCAACTACTTATCGAGAAGCTATAGCAAGTGATGAGCGAGATAGTTGGATAAGTGCTAAGACAGAAGAAATGGAGTCTCTTTACAAGAACTCTGTTTGGGAGTTGGTTCCTAAGCCCAAAGACAGAAAGCTAGTTGGATGCAAGTGGTGTTTAGGAAAAAGGAAGGACTACATGAACAAGATGCCGTGAGATTCAAAGCAAGGCTCATGGCTAAAAGGTACTCACAAAAGGAAGGGGTGGATTATGATGAGATCTTTTCACCTGTAGTCAAGCATACTTCTATCTGATTGCTTTTAGCAATGGCAACTCAGCATGACATGGAGATTGAGCAGATGGATGTGAAGACAGTGTTTCTTCACGGGGATCTAGAGGAGACAATTTTCATGGCTCAACCAGAAGGGTTTGTTGAATATGGGAAAGAGAACCTAGTATGTCAACTAAGAAAGTCCCTGTATGGCCTGAAACAGTCTCCAAGACAGTGGTACAAGAGGTTCGATTACTTCATGCTAAAAATTAATTTTAGAAGATGTTTATTTGACTGTTGTGTGTACTATCCTGTGTTTCAAGATGGGATGATCATATTGCTATTGCTATTGCTATATGTGGATGACATGCTAATCGCTTGTCAAGACAAGTCTAGAATTCAAGACTTGAAGAAGATGTTGAGCAAGGAGTTTGACATGAAGGATCTAGGTGCAGCACAGAAGATCCTTGGCATGGAAATTCAGAGAGATAGAACCACTGGAAGGATCTGGATATCACAAGCCAAGTATATTAAGAAGGTTCTTGAGAAGTTCAACATGCAAGAAGCAAAAATAGTTTCGACTCCTTTGGCAGCTTATTTCAAGTTAAGTGCGCAACAATGTCCTAAGTCCGAGGAAGAGCAGCAAGTAATGGAGGTGCCTTATGCTAATGCTGTGGGCTGCCTTATGTATGCAATGGTATGCACACATCCCGACATAGCTCAAGCAATCAGTGTCGTTTCCAGATACATGGCAAATCCAGGGAAGCAACATTGGGATGCAGTCAAGTGGATTTTGCGTTATTTGAAGGGTTCTTGGCGACAAAGGATTATGTTTGAGAAGCAAAAAGAAAATGCAAGGGTGTTGGGATATGTGGATGCTGATTATGCAGGGGACTTGGACAGGAGAAGGTCAACTTCTAGTTATGTGTTTACATGTGCAAGAGGACCGATCAGTTGGAAGGCACTATTGCAACCAATTACAGCTTTGTCGACCACAGAGGCAGAGTATATTGCATCGGCCGAAGCTAGAAAGGAAGCAATTTGGCTTAATGGCATGGTAAGTCAAATGGGAATCACCCAAGATTGTGTGAAGCTGAAGTGTGATAGTCAAAGTGTCATTCACTTGGCAAAGAATCAATTTTTTTCTGGAAGATCAAAGCACATTGAAGCAAGATATCACAGAATCAGAAATTGGGTGTAGTCTAAGGAGATTTGGATTGAAAAGATTCATACGGATGACAATGCCGCAGATTTCCTTACAAAGATAGTGTTAGGCAAAAAGTTCAAGCATTGCTTGAACTTGATCAATCTCGTTGATTGATTAAAGTGGAGCACCTCCTCACTTGAGGTGCAATGAGGCAAGAAGAAGATTGTCAAGGTGAAGACTTTTGAAGATTTCCAGAGCTGCTTCAAGGAGGTTCAAAGATACTCTGGAGTGCAACGATCAAGACTTGGCTCATCAAATATGTCCTAGTTGGTTTAGGATTGTTTTAGGAAAATTAGAGGTATACCAATTCTTGTCCTAGAAGGATTATGAAAAAATTTCAGTTTTCCTTATTCAATTTGGGTTGGGATTTCCAGAAGTCTATTAGGATTTGGATAAGTGTAATTTCCTAATCCACTTAGGAATTGGAATTCAATCAGCCTTAGGGCATGTAAGCCAACTCTATATCTATAAATAGGGTGTGGCAAGGCTTATTTTTAGAGAGGAACAACAGCCAGAGACAGCCAAGAGTTTTGAGTTTAGTTCTAGGGTTGCAAAAGTTCTGTAATCTCTATTATTAATCAATGGAGCGTAGAGAAATCACAACTGGACGTAGGCGGGTTATTTAACACTACTTGCTTGGTCACTAATGTTTTTCAAAAAATTGGTAACTAATTAGGTTTACCTCTCTGTGTTCTTTATTTATTGTATTGTTCTTTATTTATTGTATTACAATATGAAATCACAATTAATTTCTTTTAAACAGTGCTGTAGATAAAATTTATAGCATCGAATAATTCATTGCATTCAAAAGCAATCCATATATCTAACATTCTTCCAACAAATTCACAAGATGTCTCAAAAACAAAATGCTACATGCTTAAGTTCAACCTAAATGTCAAGTGATTCCCAAAAACAAATAACATAAGATTCATCACTAGTAGATGCACTAAACCGGGAATTAACTAAATGCAAGAATAATTAGACTCAAGACCTAGCTAGCGCATCTCTAATTAGTTGCTTAAAGTTTATCTGTCACTTGTCTAAAGTAACTGGAAATTAGGAACTCATTGATGATAAAGTCGAGGATAACTGGAAATTAGGAAATTAGTATATTGTGCAGTTTGCAAAAATTGTATTTTAATAAGATGAGAGTTATAAGCTAACCTCATTGATGATGAAGTCGAGGACAACTACTATAGCAATCTTTTTACTAGTGCATTGATCAAAGTAACAAAATTAGATAAGACAATAGCTTTTACTACACTAGGCCCCATCCACGTCCACATTCAAATCTACCTTGAAAAAATTATCTGGGAATATTGAGACAGCGACTCAATGCTGTCAACTTGTATTTGGATGCTGGTCAAGATATGTTTCCAACTGCCCTGTTGCTGCCAAGATAAGACCTAGAATTGCAATGTCACAGATGTCAAATGAAGTACAGAGACTTAATGACTTGATAGAGCATCACTGAATGTAAATGAGAATTGTAAAGAGACAATCCGTAATGTACTTCGAAACAAGCATGGCCCAAGTTCTATATCAAACACTAGAGATACAGCAGAGAAACATGGTAATTCAAAGATGCATGTTGCAATACATACATGTCTCCCAATTATAACAGGAAATGTGAGTATATGACATCTAAAGCTCACTTGTTTGTACTAGTACCTAAAAAGAGAGCTGAGGGCTTCCCAGGCCGTGATTTAAATTCTGGATGAAATTGCACTCCTACATAGAATGGATGGCTTGGAAGCTCTAAAATCTGCAGAACAGAAAAGTAACACAAATCATGTAAAATGTCAAATTTTCAAATTCAATTCTTTTCAGTAAATGGTAAGAAAGGATTGTGTGCAACTATAACCAAGTAAATTCTGACAAATGCTCACTACAAGTGAGCATAAGACCAGAAGAAAACCCACCTCCATTCGTCTTCCACTCTCATCCTTCCCTACAAATTTTAGGCCCGCTTCTTCAAGAATTCCAATAACATCTGGGTTCACCTGCATCATGACGAAATCAGACCATGTCCACCACATAAAAGCACTTGTGAAATATCATGTTTCACCTGAAGTAAATTACAACCAACCTCATATCTATGCCGATGCCTTTCATCCACATACTCCAAGTTATGGTACCTAGAAATTGATAGCAATACCAGATTACGAATGTTAAAAGTGGATGCTAATAGTGGAAAATTAAGTTTCAAAGTGGTGTTCTTCTGGGATTTTTTTATATATAAGCAGTCACAGATACAACATATAGTTGAGATGTCAGGAAAGACTTCCTGCAAAATAATAAACTAGCCAACAAAGTTCAAGAGTTTTACAGCATAAATGCAGTAAAGGTAAAAGTTCAATTGCGTGTGCCATGGGTTCTTCCAGACCGAAAGTGTTTGAACACATGGCACCTGCATCGACTTTACTGTATAAATGCAACAAGGTAACTGAACTTATAATTTGAATTTTCAGTAACAGACAGGTTATCTCTTGTATATCTCAAGTTGAACGTAGTAATAGATAATGAACATACAGCTTTGAAGTAATGCAATCAGGAGTCTGGAAAAGTGTTCTTCTGGATCCCAGTCTCACTGTGCTTCCCATGTGTTCCTGAACCCTATATGCAGACATAAAAGAATGAACTATCACAGGAAGAATGTTGCAGCCATATGTACATAACTGAATAGGAAAGCATCACCATAAATTTGTACCTCGGGCATAAAAACTACAACAGGATTTGGTGTATGTTCATCGAACTCTGTGCTGTCCACCCTTTCTAAACTCAAAACCTAAAACAAGTAATTAAATTAGGGCTGATATATGATCTTAAAATTAGAAGAAAACATGTTAGTGAAAGAAATGTCGCTTAGGGATCTTGCGAACTCAATCACGGAAGTCTGCATGCCCAAACAAATCCCAAGGTAAGGAACATTGTTCTCTCTGGCATACTTTGCAGCTAATATCATACCTTTCACACCACGATCTCCAAATCCACCAGGAACCAAGACGAATGCAGCATTCTGCAAATGTAGAATAGATCGAAACATAACTACGCAGACCCTCAACTGTACTGGCAAAGGGATGATAAGGTAGCACTGAGGTTTCCAACTTTGGGTTTGGAAGAAGACCAGATAGAAGAACATTCAGTTCAAAGGACCACATTTGCAGCTGTTTAAATTCATGGTCAACTGCATTACGGGTAGATGTATGAAACTAGCCTAAAGCAAACAAAATCGGTCAGAAAATCAATGGATTGTGAAATTCAACACAATATATAACAGTCTAATCAGGACATGCATGGTTACATCAAAGAACAAGATCTAGAAGGCGAGTTATTTAACAAGTGGTATCAGAGCTAGGTTAAAGGGGTTCTACGATGTCTAAAGGGAAGATGAATGCGGATCTAGGACCTGCGTTAAAGCCCTTTGACGGCAAGGATGACTTCACGGATTGGCAAAGGATGATGAAGAACGTACTGATACAGCAAGATTTGGATGATGCACTCAGCGGTGAGAAGCCAACAGGCATGACAGACACAGCATGGACTAAGGTTCTCAAGAAAGCCAAGAGTTCCATCGAGATCCATCTCACAAGATCAGTTCGGTCACACATCACAGAAAAGATGACTGCCCAAGAAGCATGGGAAAAGTTGGAGAATGTTTATATGGGCAAAACCGTGTCCAATAAACTTTTTCTAAAGGATGAACTATTCAGACTTTCTGACGGGGAGCTTCTTTCAGTAACATCAGGCTCCAAGGCTTTTAGAAATTAGATTTTGGACACCAGATGCACTTTTCATATGTGTGCAGTAAGAGAATGGTTCGATACTTACAAAGAAGTCAGCAGCGGCGAAGTTTTAATGGGGGACGATTCTTCATGTCCTGTAAAAGGAATCGGCACTGTTCAAATCAGAATGTTTGATGGGATGATACGAGTTTTGGGGAACGTTAGATATGTCCCTAGACTAAGAAAGAATTTGATTTCCTTGGGTACTTTAGATGAGGCCGGCTATGGGTACGAGTCTAAAAAGGGAAGACTCAGGGTAGCCAAAGGATCACTGGTGGTAATGCGGGGTGACCTACAACCCAATAAGCTGTATAAGTTAATTGGGACCACTATAGTTGGGGGAGCAGCTGTTTCTGTAAATCAAGGTATAGA